CAATGAGAATACATATGTATATACATATTTGTCATTTTTCTGTGTATAGTTGTTGCTGCATGACTCTGGCAGTTGCGCTGTACTGTTCGTCGACTGTGTCGTATGAATGTGAGTGGGTTTGCTGTTGCAATATCGTCCTCGCTCGTTTGATTGCAGCTCGTCGGCATGCGTGATGTCTATTTGTTTGTTCGTCGTTTTGTTTCTGTTTGTTGGTCCTTCGTCGCGGCACGAGGTGGTGGTGGCGCACGTTTTTCTATGCATTTTACTAACACATGAGAGCATATTTTGCGACAGTTTTTTCATTTCATCGTACAAATTAAAAAAGAAAAAATTGTATCGAAAACACATTGCAAGCACCCGGCTATGTAGGCATGTACATATTTATGTATGTATTTACGTAAAGCGGGCAGGAAAAATGTGAAAACAAACGAATTTTGCTTGTTAAAATGGCAGTTGCCGCCTCTTAACGGTAATGACAGTAATGCAGTCAAGCTTACGCAAGTGGGAAATAGTGTACGAAAGAAGTGAAAAAAGAAATTCATTACATTCGTTTTTCATTTCATATGATTTGCCTTTATGTTTTTATGTTAAGTAACGCTGACGCCGTCACATTCTTTTTTTTTCGTTTTAAGTATTTTGTTTGCTGTCGACTCACTGTGCTGTAGAGTAGAAGAAACGATGCAGTTATCAGAAACGATTTGAAGTTAATGTATATACTGACTTGCAAATGTTTTCTAAATCATGCACTGCCGCCAGATAGATCAAAAAATAAGTAATATAATGTTTGAAAAAAATAATTTGCGTAAAAATCTGGCTCTCCGACGTCTGCCATTCTTGATAAGAAATTATGATAAAATAAAGCATCACAAATATTTGCGATGCACAGTTTGCTTTTGTTTACGCATCAATAACTTTACCGATGCATTTTGGAACATGATACATCGTCAAAGCTTGCATTTAGGGATGCGTGACAAAACTAAAGCACCCTCTTCATTGGTGTAAAAAAACGTCTCTAGGCCGTAACTTTGGATGACTAAATCATATCTTGCATGTGGATCGACCATAAACTCTATTCACATTTTTTATGCATATTCTGCTGATTCCCGAACCGATTTTAATGGGTTTCCAGTAGCTTAGAGGTTCTTCTGGCGCATCGTTTCGCCGCCTACCCCAGAGCTTGTGTATGAGCTGCAATCACATAGCACAAGTATGCGTGTATGGTCGCTAAGAATGACAAACTAATTGGTAGACATATATTTTAGGGGGGAACATGGCTTAGAACGCTGAAAATTGCATGATATTCGGCACAGTGTTTTAGATACGTATGAAACGTTTCAAGTACTTTTGAAATAGGTCATAGATACACAAATCTTGCAAAAAAATTTAAGGTATCACTTATGACAATTACAATTTTTTTAATCGTGTGAAAAAAACTGTTTTGAGAAAATAGCGTTCAAAGTTCTCACTCCCGCTTATCAGTCTCCTGAGCGCATAGTCTCTAAGAGTCAATTTCTGCGGAACGATTAGGAATTTGACTCTGAAAATTTGTGGAAATGTTTCTGAATATATTTCTAATCGAATGAGATAAGTTTCAAAAAATCGATTTTTTTTACCCTCTAGACCACGTTCCCCCCTTAAATAGCATGTACATATAGAAATCATTTTTAATTGGAAGTTTCTCATTCTTTATTGTTATTATTACTTCAGCTTTTATTGTTTCAATTTTGTGTTGTTATTATTGTTTGAGTACAGACAAGGCATCTACTGTCTTGTGCCGAGTGACATATGTAGGTGAGTGCAGCTAGAATGGTTAGATGTTTCATATATGTACATGCACACATCCAAGTATATTGTTTGCAGCAGAGAATATGTCTTATGATATGAAATTGAATAGGGATTGCTTAATATTCACGCTTCCAATATTTGCTTATTTGTCTTCGGTGTACTTCTACTACTCATACTAAGAGTTTTTCGATGTGATTTTACTGTTTTCGAGGAATTCTATATTTCATTTTATACATTTCTATATGAATATTTGTACATATGTACATACATACAGCATTGACATAGTAGTGGACACAAAAGAGTGAAATCAATGAAAATTAATCACAGCTGCACAACGATGCCTTCTTGACTTAGGTACTGACTGCCAGGCAGATTGAACCACAGGCCACAGTTAGGTGCTATTTTTCGGCTTGTCTACGCATACTCCTTATTTGGGTGTCAGCCCATAAGCTCTCAATCGGAAGATTGCGTTGGCCACTACACAACCTACACTTAATTGTTCAGAAAGCACAGTTTCGTCAGTTTTAGTGTGTGTCGAATCATTATTCTGTTGCAGGGTTCATTTGAGTGGCGCAACGGAAGAATAACCTATTGCATGATTTCAACGTATGGTTTTTGATCCATGGCCTTTTTATCCAATATACAGCCTTGATGCAAAGTATAAGACACCCCACTAATTACTGAATTTTTTGTTTTAAAAAGTGAAGTAATGAAGTTTTATTAGTAAAACAGTGAAAATACAATGAATTAGTGATAATAACATTAATATTTAGTAGATCCACCCTTCGATTTAATAACGGCAGCAATTCTCTAGGCATGCTGCGTACAAGCTTTGTCCACTCGTTCCTTAATCTTGCGTTTTAAAATAGCCCACATGTGCTCAATGGGATTAAGATCTGGGGACTGTGCAGGCCAATCTAACAAAACAATGTTATTATCTCTAAACCAACGCATCGCAGTCGCTGATTTGTGATAAGGAGCAATGTCTTGCTGAAATTGAACCATGTCTAAATTAGTATCGCCGAAAGTGCGCGTTAACGAAAGCAGAAGAACAGCTTCCAATACATTTATGTACTTTCGACTGTCCATGCGACCTTCGCAAACGAACATTTCGCCAACACCATCAGCAGCCATGAAGCCTCATATCATAATGCTGCCTCCTCCATGCTTAACAGTGGGTACCACCCTAACCCATCGCCTCACGAACGTCACACCAGGTGTTCCAAATATCTGTAGAAAAGAAAAAAAAAATGTTTTCATAAGATTTGTATTACGTCTTCAAAATTGCTGTGGCTGTCAAGTATTTTAGGGGGTTTTTACCTCACAGACAATTCGACCAATATTCTTCCGTCTCCATCCCACCAAATTGGCAATCTCCACCTGAGACTTACCTTCTTCACTTATAACTTGAATTCTAACTCTTTCATCCTAACTAATTTCACTATTTTTAGGCATTTCGGAAAATGTGAACTGTTTTTATGAGATTGGTAACTTATCACTAAATGTAATTTACACTTTCACTTTAAAATTTTAAATTCGAAAATATTTTATGAATTTCTTAGAAATGACAATTTTTAGGTTTATCTTACCCATAGTGCTATGACTTTTAATATTACACAATTTATTCGTTTAATCAACAGTTAAACACCCATGTAAGACATTTACAAAAAGAAGTGGTAACTGACTGGTAAAGTGTGCAGAGGATGATATTCCGTATGTTGCCTGCCAAAATGTAGTTTTTTTAGCACGATCATTTTATGTTTTTCTGTTTATAAAAATTAATCTATTACATTTCATTAAAAGTACAACTTTCATTGCTCGTTTAAAATCACACATTGCTTAGTTGAACAAAAATTACTGTAAATGCTGGCTGTTTTTATCTTTGCATATAGAAATTTCAAAGACCATAGATGATACTTCAATACATAATCGTTATCAATACTGCGTGTGTTGCGAAATGTATGGGATATTACATTTCTCACATGGTCACCACTATTTCAGTACTCCCAACCGGCATCTGAGTCTGAGCTTTTGTTTCGCCTTTCAAACATACATACATACCAAACTTCTCATGCGTTTATTGAATTAAGGCCCTCAACATAGAAATTTTCATTTCTATTTCCGTTTCGTGTATCAATTCGTCTCAGTTGCTTTGCATTTTATGAGAACTCGATGTACTCCCTCTAAATATAATATACACTTTAATGATGAATACCTTTGAAATATACAAATATACATACGTATACGTGTATTTCTACTGAACCAATATTTTTTTTGTAATGAAAGTTATTGGGAAGCCAATAGTTTATGATATTCTATTCAAATTATTTATTGTATTAAAGATCAACATAAGAAAAAGTATTTCTGAAATTTTCAAAGCAGAATCTTCATAATGCCGTTATTATGACGTTATTTCTGGGAAAAGGTGCATCTGCACTGACAGTAGAACTATTGTAGAACTCATGGCAAGATCATCGGAAAAATGGAAATCGTGCTTTAGTTAATATCATAAACTAGAATTTGGACAAAAGAAAATAAAAAAGTATAAATACGATTTTTGCGGAGAATTTTTTTTTTTAAATAGTTTTGATTGAAACAAAAGCCTTCGTCCAATTTATCGTGAATTGTATCTCAAGAGCCTGTTTAAATTTCATCTAGTACTTTTTAACAGCCGTTACGAGGAAAACATGTTTGAATTTCAAAATGCTCAGCCTATCTGCCATTGAGAGCACAATTTCCCAAGGCTGTATTTCAAAAACTTTTATTCAGATGGACTGTAGAAACTGTATTTTTTAAGTTGGGGAAACCCATGTAAGACCTTAATACACAGATACTTCAAGATATTATATTTTAAAAATTATTATTTAAATATGTAACTAAGTGATATTGAACTAATTTTTATAAATGTATTATATAATAATAGGCGTTTTGTAACCGCTGAAGCGATTTTCGGTCGAGCTCTTCCTCCGATTTGTGGTTTTGCAACTTGATGTTTTTCCAGCAAATGGAGGAACCTACAGTTTATACAATTAAAAAATTTACTTAATTTTCTATAATATTTGGATGTAGGTCGCACGGGGATTTGAACCCGAGGCTTCCGAATGGCAGTACGCAATGCTAACCACTCGGCTACCGCGACCGCTTATATTATATTCGCATATAAAAAAATTCTTAATATATAATTAAAATATGATAATTTTTTATTCGTTTTGCAGACAAATACTTCCAGAGGTCAATCACCTTATCCGCCAACACATGGTCAGAATTCAGGTTCCTATCCAAGCTCACCCCAACAACAGCCGGGCGGTCCACCGCCCCCACCACCGCAATCATCAAATCAAGGTACGGCTGCCGCACAATACTCACCATACCCACAGCGGTATCCCACTCCGCCTGGGACGGCGACAGGCCCAAACCATCGAACTGCCTACTCACAACATCAGGTAAATTATTTTAAAATTATAGTTAAAAACTATAGCTATTGATTCTGTTGCAAAAACATACAGTTGCAATTAAATAGCTCCTTTGGGCATTATTAGAATTTTTGTGAATGAGTGGGTTGTAGGAGTGTGACGTGACGGTGACTAAAGAAAAAACAACTCGGAGAAAACACACCTTCGAAGTGTTGTAAAGCCTTCTTTAGGTGCATACAAATGCAAAAATAGATATTATATGTGGGGAAAAATACAAGATATTTGGTTTAGCATTCCAGACGAGTTACTACTATCTCTACCACAATTCTGTTTTACATCAGTTGCTTATCATGCAAATATGTTATATCTAATATACCCTACAGGAAACACATTATCTCCAAACTAGACCTTGCTTTACTACTTTTTATTATAAAAAATAATCATCAAAGACAGATGAATATTTGTTTATTGGCCGTATGCCACACCATGGGTGATTCAATATGCCCTAATGAACATATTTAACTCTAATGAAGGTGATGTTAAAAGTACCAGTCGTTAGAATTGGAAATTGATGGATGATTTTACTTTCTCTGCAGTCACTGCTTGCTTATACTGTTGTTGTTGTATTAGAAAAAACATAATAGCGTTTAATGTTTCAATATTTTGTATTTATGTATTATATGTATTTGTATCTGTGCCGTTTTGCAGAAGTTGTTCTCTTTATTTCTCTGCCATGTTAGTTTGCGGGTTAATTTTGAGGTTCCCGAAGTGTGTTCAGCTGAAATAGACATACATACATAATAACGATAAGCATACACATGTCATTGACATGTACGTTGATGCGTACGAATCTATGAGTCACTGTTATATAAATATGTATATCCCCGCACTTGTTGCCACATCAATTATAATTGAACACTTGTCCTCGGCAGAACCCTGCTGCTGATAATCCTGCAACAGCTAGCTGCATTATTGTATTTGCAATGTATGTATGTATTTTGCTGTTGCTATGCGTGGCACGTACAATGGCTTGCAGTCTGCAGCCTGCAACTATTGAGGTTGATTTAAGCTTCTGCACTACGCTGTCATGTTTTGTTGTATTTTCTCTATTGCTCGTCATGCGACAGCTGCATTGCAGTGTTTTTTTATTTATTTTTTTTTCTTATGGTTTCAGTTTCTGCTGCGACCAGCAGCCGTTGGCCGCATACATAATTATTATGAATAATTAAGTTTTCGATTCTCAAAATGATATTCTGCTTATTTCGCCTACTTAATGGGCTTCACCAAATTTGACTTCTACGGCGTTATTAGACAATGAAAAGCCGCGTGCCCTTTTCCGAAGCGATTTTCGGCCGAGCTTTTCTCCAATTTATGGTTAGCGTCTTAAGGTTTTGTTTTCATTGTGTAGTAGAACGGTAATGATGAGGTCATTACTTTGTAGTTGCCAACTCAGTCCAAAGCAGCAAGGAGTGATTCCACGTTGGATTTCCAGGCTCGCAACGTTGTTGGCCGTTTGGAGGTTGTAGATTCCACCTCTTGTTGGAGTAGCGTCTCGGCCGAAGATCACTTCAGCGCTATCAAATCATTTGTATACTTAATTTTTCGAACGGTTTATTGAAAAGCTACAAAATTTCATTGATTTTTTTTAACTATTGGCTATTTCCTTTTTGTTTTGCACTCAATATCCGATAAAGAGATGAGTAAATTTTAACATTTTATAATATAATAATTTTAAATGCAAGTCTCTATTCAAATGTAATATTTTTCATATAAGATATAATAAGCAATTAAAATAAATTAAAAAAAAAAAACATTTTTACGGATTAATAATGAATGATTCTTCACAGGGACTTTTGTGCACAATCAATAAAAGGATGCTTATTAATATTTAACTGCAAGAATAAAATGTTTCACTATGTAAATAGCACGCAAATAAAACCAACAACGCATTTAATTAAAAAATAATGAAACATAAAACAAATGAAATTGCGGCTAAAAAATGAGCTGAAATTGACTCAATATATATATTATTAGACATGGACAGTGTAAATGAAAGTTAGTAAAAGAAATAGTTGTTACTATTCAATACTATTTATTTGGTCAAAAATTCAAGGTAAAATTAAAAAAAAGGTAAAAGCTCAGGATTTTGTTTGAATATCTTTGAGCGACTTTAGCATTTTGGCAATGTGTACTCGAACACTTGTAAAAGTCCTACATACCATTTTTGAATCTGCTCCGGAAATGAGGGCTCTTTCGCAGGGCTCTTCCATAGAGCTGTAAACCATCTGGGTCCTCAACTGTCCACTTTATTGGTTGTGATCTAGGTTCTTTAATCAATTTTGATAATTTGAAAAGCTCGCCTCAGCGCATAGTGAACCAAATTGTGGATTTTTTGACATTTTATTTTTTATAGCTGCGGCCAAGAACTGATGGAGTTGCGGTATAATCTGATGATTTTTCGCTGATCTCTGCAGGAAGCGTCGATTTTCGCTCGACTGGCTGCAAAATATACTTCCCGGGCACTGCAACAAATTTCGTAACATCGTCGATTCTATTTATAATGGAAAGTAAGTTTTGTGTCAGAGAAGTACAATAGTGCACACGGTGACGAAAATGCTCAACTTACTGAAACGAATTTTAATGCGAAAAAGTTATGCTTTGAGTTAAGCGTAATAAATAAGGAATTATTTGCATACAAATGATTGAATTGAAATAATAATTGCTGTTGTGGCATTTCAGAAAAAATTTATAGCTTGCATGCGAATACCTGTATTGAAAAAATACATAATTTACTGGATACAATGAGCTTACCTACTTACTTTAGTAGCGTAATAACCGCTCACGCGATTATAACCGAATTTATAACATTGCTCCATACGTTTCTTATTTTCGTTATTTGGCGCCAATTGAAAACTTTCAAAGCTCATCATTACAACATGCAGAGGACTGTAAATCTTATGCAAAATCTTTCTCTCGAAAACTTAACGCTAACTCCTCAGATGTTGTCATTGTCCACGCCTCCGCACCATTAAGCTGGACGGGAACGATAAGCGACTTGTAGAGTTTGGTTTTCGTTCGCCGAGAGAGAACTTTACTTTTCAATTGCCTACTCAGTCCAAAGTAGCACATGTCGGCAAGAGTGATTCTGCGATGGATTCCCAGGCTGACATTGTTGTTGGTGTTAATACTGGTTCCAAGTTACACGAAATTGTCTACGACTTCAAAGTTGTGACTGTCAACAGTTACGTGGGAGCCGAGTCGCGAATGCGATGACTGTTTGTGTGATGACAAGAGATATTTCTTCTTGTACTCGTTTACTACCAGACCAATATCCTTCTCTTCCTTATTCAATCTCGAGAAAGCAGAACTCACGGCGCGGTTGTTGAGGCCAATAATGTCAATTCGGAGAGGTCCTTCCCGATTCTCGCGGAGTCTTTAGTGTTGCTTAAGGTTAGTTTATAAGCCGTATAAGTTTTGCGGGATACCAAATTCAGACATAGCGGCATAAAGGCAGATTCTATTCGTGCTGTCCAAGGCGGCTTTAAAATTGACGATGGGTGTGTGTCGATCCTCTATTCACGGGTCTTTTCCAAAATTTGGCGCATATTGGTGAATATCTGGTCAGTGGTTGATTTACCAGATTTAAAGCTACACTGATCAGTTTGTTGACGGTGGACATTGGAGAGGACCTTATAAGTGATATTAAGGACGCTTATGCCACGATTGGCACAGACTGTGGAGTCCTCATTTTTATGGATTGGGCAAAACACACTCAAATTCCAATCGTCGGTTATGTATTCGACCGACCATATTCTACAAACCTGATGCATGAACCTTGTCAGCTCCAGCCGCTCTGTTGTTTTTTAAACGGACGATTGCTATTCGAACTTCTTCATGATTAGGTAATGGAAAGTCTTTTCCATCGTCATCTCGGCCTCTTTCTTTTTTGTCTGATGCGTCTTGCTTCCTTGTTTAATTTTCGGTATCTATCCCATCCCGCACGTGTTGCGAGGTAGGCAGTCTGCTTTCTTTCCACTGCGACACGAAAGTCTTCATCGTGCCAGCTGCTTTTTTTAACGACATCCAATAGTCTCGTTTGTAGCTGTACGTCCAGAGGCGCTTGCGTATTTTCGCTAAAACAAAATAGTGATCTGAGTCGATGTTGGGTCCTCGGAGTGTACGCACTTAAAGAACACTAGATATATTTTTTCCGGTTCTGGTTTTATGTTTCTATCTAGTACTAAATACAATAATATTTCGGGCCCCGGCGAAGTTGATTAGACCCTTGTGAAGGCTGAATTTTTCAACATTCATAGCAAAGATACCTACTTTGCCCACCTTGGCAGCCCTAATAAGTGTGCTTCAGGCACTCATTCTCTTCCGTCGAGGCGTGGGCGCAAATTAAGGGCATGTTGCTTTGATGCGTAGCGTGGCGAGACGTTCATTCACAAGGAGTGAATGTCAGTACCCGTCCACGGGGTCTCTTGTTCACCACCAATCCAACATCAAATTTGCGCTCCTTTATATGCAATCTGTAGTAAATGTCACAAGTACCTGCTTGTTTTCTGGTGCAATGACCTCTGCAGACCCATAAACCGAGTAAGTGGGTCCACTGAAGCTACCTCTCTTTTAGTCGTGCCCCAAGGCTCCACACAAGGGTTGCGTGACTGTAACAGCATACCCAGAAGCTTGACTATACTCCATTATACCCCACAATGAAATAGGGCGCCTAAAGATATACAAAGATTCACATATCGATAGTAAAGAGAGATCTTATATGAGTTATAATTGGTCATAGAATATCTCAAGAGCACAATGGAAATAGTAAAACTCTCAACTAACTGTTTACTATGTCATTCCTGACTTTAGTTCATATATTCCCTGCCAGGGAATACATACATATATGTATGTATATATGCATGACCGCTAACAAATATTGCTGCACGAAACTCTTACTTTGGTGTATTATGCAATATATGCACATACATATCTATGTACACGTCATAAGTCATTAATATAATATTTTTTATTACAAATTAACAATTTAGTATTTCTGCAACGCATAAATTTCCACAAAACTGCACAGACACACTAGCAAGCTTTTGTAAAAAAGTTAAATCTTTTCAAAGGTTATGAAAAAAACTCTCTTAAACAAACATGTTGGCAGGGTAATGAAAGGAAAAAGTTTATCAGGGAATTTAAAGTAAATAAAATACGGTAAATTAATGAAATTGTGGAGTTAAATAAAAATTTTTAATGAATTGTTCATATGCCCAGAACAAAGGAGATACACATATGTACATACACGTATGTACAAAAAATAATTTAAGTGCATTTGCTGCGAACAATATGCGCCTAGCTAAATTTGGAAAATTATTTAATAAATATTCATTGCAAATACGAAATAGAGGGACTGATAACTACATCATGTTCTAGAGCGCGTGTATCGAATGTTCGTTATCGAGAACTTTGAAACAAAATTATCTAGAGATACTTGCGAGCAATCTGTCGTTATATAAGAGCAAAGAGCGTACTGCTGGCATGGCAAAGAAATGCATCGACGTGGACCAAAAGGGTTGTCAAATGAAATCAAAGGATACGTCCACAAACGTTGAGGAAAAGGACGAAGCCGCTTGTGCCTCATCCGGCAACGAATGTTGTAGTTCATTATTATACTGTCATGGACACGGATATGCTATTTGCTGCAATTTCACAAATGAATTTCAAGTGTATTTCACAAACAATTTTATAGTTTTTACACTTCGATGAGCGCTCCATGGACATTATGGTAGCGAGCATAGAAGGCAAAACTTTCAGAGGGAGCTGAAACTGTCTAGTTTGCTCGGGCTCAGGGATAATCCGCACTTTTGTATAGACCAGCGTACACAGCGAGCCCTGTAGGGGAGGAAAGTCCAGATAAGCTGAGAGTTGAGCATAAATGTGTTGCACCGCGCTTTTTATGAATGGTAGGAAAAAGCCCGATATATTAAGGCAAGGAATTATGAAGGTTTTGTAGAAGAAGATTGTACATATATTGTTCACCTAAAAAAACTTGTCTCCAAGATTGCAGTTCAATTAGGAAGGCCCTTCCTTTACAGAGTTAGAAAAGGGCTATAACTTTGTGTATCGAATCCACACCATTAGTAGACCCAGGAACTAGGGGTCCGCTTGAAGAGACTTCAGCGTTTAGGCAAAACGATCAGACTTAAGTGAAACATCTTGATATCATTCCAAAAATGTCAGAAATACACTCCGAGAGGTGGACTTTCTCCGCCGAAGGTCGATCGCAGTTAAAAAAATGATATAATTTTTGGATAGTGTTCGAAAAGGACCTGAAACTTGGTCTTATTTGGCCGCAACAATTGTTCTTTAATTAAATCGTGCATTTTACTGGTAGATAACGTAAGATGTTCTTACAAATTTTGTTCATTGTCATACACTCAAGCGCTCGCTGATTGCTCGTATTTATTTACACACACACTGTATACCATATGTTTATCTGCTCGAACCGTTACTCAAACACGTATTTTTTTCTTCTAATTTTTTCAGTATCCTGAACCTAATCGACCTTGGCCTGGTGGTACATCGCCTGCCCCTAGTCCTGGCCCCGGTGGCCATCCTCATCCTCCAGCATCACCACATCAATCGCAACACGGCGGCCCACCGCCTAGCAGTAGTCCCGGTCATGCACCGAGTCCTTCGCCACAGCCATCGCAGGCGTCGCCATCACCACATCAGGTAATTAATTTATACCACCGTTACGCGCAGTGTGCGCCACTTTTCCTCTTACAAACAGTTACACACACATGGTCTGCCATGTTCACATTGTATTGGCAATAAAATTAATTTCATAGCTGTTATCTTGTCGTGTTGCATGAACAAATTATTGTTTATTTCACGCATACATGTTCATATATTCGTCGAGTTGGTCAATGGCAGAAGTGTTCCAGTAGTGGAATGACACCAGCTGAGCGTGATTTTCTTGCTGTTTGGGTGTCTGAGTCGATGTCATCAAATACGGCACGCATTCTCACGAAAATATGACGTGCGATCAAGAAGCAGCATGGCAAGTAAATGAATTTAAACAAACAATATGAGAAATGAGGCTGCAGTCGATAAATAGAGGTATGCCAAACCTGCCTAGGAACAGGCGAGACTAGTCTGAGCCAACGGGTTCATATAACTGGAGGTCCAGGAAGTGTAGTGTTTCGACCAGAGAGGAAGATAGGTTACATGGGTTGCTTTTAGTAAGCATGTACAGAGCTGGTTAGTGTACTGCGGGGTCTCATTGCATGCAGGAAATACGTTGGATACCTTGGCCTTAATTGTGCCAGTATTACTCGGGTAATGTGCCACGGTCCCTAGGGCGGTGACTTGTAACTTTTTCGCCAGTGCTTCGCTGGTTCCCGGCGTTCTAATCGGAGCAACGTTATTTACGGAGGGTCGTCTGTATGTTGCGAGCAACATTTCTTTATCCCCCGTGCTGCCGACAAACGATTTGAGGATTTTGTTGCGGCTTTGTGACAATTGCAGTTCTATGCATAGCGAAGTAGCTCAGACTGTCGAATGTGAATCCTAGTTATTGTGTTATTTATTGTCGATTTGCGATTTGATTGAGTGAATGTGATATGAAAAATTAGTTTTTATTTCACTTTTTTGAAGGTAGCATAGTAAATCCAGAAATAATTTAAGGCATACTTTTTGCTAATGCAAATACACACTTTTTTCATCCATAATGGCGCGTGACTGAGTAACAATCGCAACTCGCTGTGCACAATTTAATAGTCAAATTGTCACGGGACGAGTGTGAAGGGAGGAGCCGTACTAGGGGATCAATAGCACAAAATGTCAATTAAAAAATTCAAACGAATTTTGCATAACGCATGCTCATTTACATTTTTATTAGAGAGCAAACAACAAAAAAGCTCTGAGATTGGCTGGAAACAGAAAAAATATATAAACAATTCAAATTGATATGAAGAGCAAAACGCAAAAACAGCGAAAGTGTAAAGAATACAAAGTAAAAAAGTAGAGTACGTGCGCCGAAGCGCCTAAAAGCAGACAACAAGACAAATGTAATGAAAATATTTTGTTGCCGCGTGCAACAGCATTCATGCGAGCGATTCTTCATGTGTCGCATAGTGATAAAATAATACCGAAGCTCAGTAAACTCGGGTGTGGCAGTCAATCGGACTCAGTAGTTGACAGCAGGAGCACACACGAAGTCGCAAATAAATGCAACCAGTGTTCAGCAGTCAGCAAACAACAATAACAATGACATAAAACGAGGCAATCCAGAAAGTAAGTGTACTGGAGCTCTTACGGGCGGTAGTGCAGCCAGGCTTCTCCCCTTTGCAACGAGACCGGTCAGTACCGGTCAGCTATGGCATTTGAAAAGATCTGTATGTGCTTCTTATTAAAGTGGAAACCGCATATGGTGATAAGGCTATAAATCGTACGAGTATGTAGAATTGGTGATGCCACGAATTTAAAATCGCAATTTCTAAAAAAAAATCGAAAATACGCTTCGTCACGATCGCAGATTGACTGGATAAATTTCCTGCATGAAAAAGGTTTTCAACCGAAGAGGTTGTAATGAAGTAGGTGGAGAAGTTGGCAAAGGAATTACCGGAAAGTTACTTCGAGAAAGGCGTGTAAAAAGGAACGTCACTATTTCAAAAATTGTCTTACGTTATGTACTAAAGTATTACTTCTTTGTTAAGATTAAAAATTTTAAAACCTACAAAAATAAGTAAAAATATTACTTGCTGTGTAATTTTATTTTGCATTTTTAGTCTCGACCGTGGCAAGTGAGCAACAAACGCGCACAAACTAATTCTGCAAAGCAAACATTTTGTTGCTTACATTCTAGCTACGAATTCAGCGAAAGCCGTACCGTGAGTGCAGTTGGATGGCCCGCCGCCGGCTGGATGGTTGTTCAGTCAAATGAAAATCAGTCAAATTAAATATGAACTCAGCAGCAAATAAGCCGAGGGGGAATACATAAAAAGTAATGCCCATTAAGAAGCAATAACAAAAAAATATATTGAATTGAGTTGAATGGATGAAAGAGCAAATGAACTGAACATTGGATTTGGAGCGAAGTTAATGCATTTTCTGCAGTCTGCCCAAATGCATGGAATATGCACTGCTTCCGTTAGCGACAATTGGCCAGTAATACAACACTTGGCAACAGCCAACGATCGGCAGTTAAATTTGAATATGACACCTCCGGCCCAGTGACGACTGGTCATTCTCGTTGGCAGACAAATTAGTTATTGACAACGTGCGTGACGGCTATGTGTGGTGGGTGGACTTAGGTGTTGCTTCGGTGGACGTTGAAAATGATATTAAGAGCTACCTAGCTTCGCTCAATATTGGCGTGCAACAGTGGCAAAATTTCGAAATAAAAAAATTTCTTAATCGACTTTATGCAACTAAATGACACCAATCAATTGACTTTTGTTTGTGTATAGTCTGTCTGGCGTAATTTGTATGCTATCACTGAATGGGAATTTAAATTTATGAATGGCGCACTCATACGGGGATAAGAGTGAGAGGAAGTGAACGTTTAGTTGCCCTCAAGAAAATTACTGAATAGATTTGTTTACGAATTTTAGAAAGCGCGAAATGCTAAAAATTTAAACTGCATCGGCTCGCTCGGAACATGAATAACAGTTTATCTAAATTTTTTTTAAGAAAATTGGGAAAAGGGAAAAGAACACAAGTTTTTTTTTTTTTTTTAGTTTTGCATATCTCTGATATTATTAAAGGTTTAACACTTGAGATTTCAAATAAAGATACGTATGTATATGAAATTAATCACAAGTATAGAAGGATAGAATTGAAGAATTGAGTGTTACGGAGATCTAATGGATATATTCCTTTACTTTTCGCAGTCACCCTGATTGGTCTATATCTAGCTCTCGCACAACTATTTGGGCCTTAGCGAATTCATTCAAATGGCTGTGCAGGCAGGACTGGTTTCAATTCCATATCAAGATATAGGATATGGTTTAACAGGGAGAAAGCTAAGAAGAAAGAAGTATGTCTCCATAACTGTCTGCGTACAACCCTTCCATGCGGCATACGTTAATTCTCTCACTGAGCTAACTTCATCTAAGCATATTTCAAAGGGTTTTACACATAAAAAATCCAAACATTGGTAAGAAATAATGTTACTACGAATTAGTTGTATTTGCCCAAACGTTTCTTAAAGCTGCAGAATATATTTTTTATGAATCCTCGACTCAAATTGGGTTACCCCTCCTAATTAAATTGATTTGCTAACTCCATTTCCCGTTAAGTCATTTTGCTTATCAAACAATGGAAAATGTTTTGAGCGTAATGGCTTTGCTTTTAAATATATATACGCAAATTTGCATAGTTGATTAGTCGATATGCCCCCTGAGCCTACTACACTCTTTGTAGAAGACAAATAGAGCGCGAACACACTCACACACAGTGTACATAGCCTGCACTTTGGCGCATTAAATATTCTACATGCAAACGAGTGAGTGGAGTTAAGAAATCGGCAGACATATTGAGTTAGTGAGTTGATTGTTTCCAACATACCTATTTATCGGGAAAAGTACACATGGAGCGATGTGGATAAATGCCGTCAATTGGGCAGTAGGAAGCCGGTCTTGGCTAGCAATAAGACATGCAGCGCAACATTTGGTGATTCTTTTTTCGAATAAAGCTCAGCCCAATTAAGGCGGCCTGAATTATTAATTGTGTGACTTGGCTGCTGTTCTCGAAAGAGGTCACTGCAAAATACATATATAATGCTTTGCTTGCAGTAAGCAGGTTTATAAATATCTATGTAAATTTTTTTTCTTTTGTTGCATTTCCCGCCTTTTTTTCAAGATATGTGGACACACACACACATACATTCGCCAAGCATTAAATGCAATGACACGAAGCACTATTGTTTGAAAATTTAATAAACTCATCGTCATCAGTGCCGCAAACCGCTGCCAACTCAACTTAACGGTGTCATCAGGCATCAGTTATACAATAACAGAAGCTCACAGACCCAAGTCAGACACTATTATTGACACTACAGTGCATTGTTTCCACCACCGTCTGCCGAATACTGTCACCATCTCCACCAGCACTTGTGAATGGCAAACACAACAGCAGTCTCAACTTGGTTCATGGCATGTTTGCATCACTAACACGCTCCACTCGCTCATTCGTTTGTGGGTTTGCCTCAACTTTACCCTCGAATCCAACGCACTAGCAGATTGACACGCAACTCACGTAATTGCCGCGCTGCGTTTTATGACCAGCTGAAACATCGCTTTGTACTCGTCGTACCATTATCAAGCGATAGGCTTTGCGTTCCCACAAATTCTCACAATCAACTGCCACACGCTCTCATAACGCATACAGTTCCTGCTGGCACTGAAGTTATCGCTAAAAGGGGGATTGTCGAGTTTTCTTTTAATGTCACGTCACACAGCATTTGTACCATTTTTCACGCACTTCCACAGCAGACTATCTGCCCGATTGTCAGGGAGTTTCATTTTCGGTCTTACCGATTTTTGTAACCATTTACTCGCTTAACTCGCAGAGAAAGTTCAATATCTACCAAGCACGTACTGTGGCTAAATAGTAAGGAACTGAAGTTCGTTGTGCTTTTAAGTGTCATCGAGAAACGTCGTTATCTCCTCAAATACGCACACAATACCATAAATGCAGCCGTTTATTTCCTATTTTAAGTTTTTCTGTAC